ACAACACAAGGTCTGCTTCGACTATCAAGGCACCCTGGAATAGTGGGTCACAAGAATGTGACAAGCATACAAAAGAAGTAGAGGAAAAATGACGATAGTAAGGATTAGGAAAGAAAAATCAGCAGTTCTCTGTTGAAGTTCAGGCACAGTTATGAGTGTGATATTGATGAATCAGCGCATTAACAATTAAACAATATTACTGTGCATAAGAACATGGTTAATGCCTCCGCCCCCCTTTTGGGAATGACCTAAATACACTTTAGTCAGTAGCCCCGATCCGGGGGTATTGGTGGTACTGTCATATTGAGCTTTCTTCTCCTGCAGATAGTAAGAGGTCGCGGCTAGTAGCTAACCCCTTTCTGTCCCTCGGTTGTTTCTATGTGTCTGCCCCCCCCCCCACCTCACTAAATGACGGGTATCGTGCTTATGTGCTTCTTTTTACATAATCAAAAGTCCTCCGCCTTCTCCTCCCCTTGTTCATTGTCTTCTGCCTTCTCTTTCCATTCTTCGTTTCTTTTACTACAAAGACAACCTTACTGTTCCAGCTTCGAAATTTTAATGTCTGTTAGCTGTCCTTAAAAATTCAATGCTTCATTCAGCATATTATGTTTTGGTTTCGTTTGAGTTGAATTTTAAGATGTTGATACAGAGCATAGTCTTCAAAATTTGTCTTTTCAGTCATTTTAAAGTGTACTTTGTGGGTGATTGGTGGGTGCTCTGATGTGGTTTGATTCTTTTTTCCTATCAAACATCTATCGCCCTTATCTCTGCTCCTTCTTTTTAGTGTATGCTACTCTCTTGTAAAATATCTATTCTTCGGCACTTAAATGACCTTATTATGCTGCAAGTGCCGTAAAACTCTTACGAAAACTTTAAAAAAGTGTAAAAGCGACAAAATGAGGTCACTTCTCCACGGGACGAAGAACTTGTTCTGCGTCACAACGGCGTACTTACTGCACAACCCCTTTGTCTGAAAAAATTCGGTCATATACGTAAACATGGCAATGCCTTTCATGATCTGACTCACTTCTGTGTCAAAGCTCACAACATAGACAAACAGGAAGGCATCACCACGAAAGGTTTTTATTTAGCTTATCTTTTATTTTTTTTTTACAACGTAGCTCCTGGGCAAAACCAGATGAGATTTACGATTCATCGATTGATAAAGACAGAAAGAAGACATAGCATAATATTAATATTCTGTGTAGATACCTCTTTGGAGTGGATCCATTTTTTCTCTGCTACAAAGACAAGTTGAAACATGTTTTACACGAAGAGTGATGTAAGGTGGTGCATCTCTCAAAGGGTATGATCACAAAAATGTGATAATTTAAAAGGATGGCCTAGATCTATAGAAAGGCGTTAAACTCATATCAAAAGAAGTAGCAGGGACCGACCAATTACAGAGCAAACTCAGTGAGTGGTTGGTGGTCGCCTTTCCTTTCCCACCGTTGTTCTTGTCTGTCTGTCTTACATTTCCCTGTCTTTATGGCTGCTGTTTTGTCGATGTGATTCTCTTTCCAGTGAGCCTGACAATGCAGTGTTTTCTGACAGTTACTTGGATTTACTTGGATCCAGAGCTAGAATCATAGCAGGCGGCACATGTCCATAGCTGCTCATCTCTCCTTTCCAGCGTTCACATCAGGGTCTTCCTGCTAATTGTCTCCATGAGGTGCTGGTTTGAGACACGCCTGACCCCTCCTCGGAGCAAACTTTTTTTCGCTGTGCCCCGCACACACTTTTCTTTTATTGTGCTGAGTGTGTGGGAGTCTGTCTCCTCTTGGTCGTGAAGGCTCTCCTTGCATCTGGCGATCACCATTGGTGGATCGAGCATGATTCGACCATTCGGTGCTGCTTTGCCGGCAAGTTCATCAGCACGCTCATTTCAGTGCACCCCGGCGTGGCCAGGGTAGAACACCCATGTAATCCTTAGGAGGTGGCCATTTGCAGTTCTGTCCACAAGATGAGTCGCAATACCACACTCTTTAACTCCTCTCCCCTTTCCACTACAGTGCACCCCACCCAACCCCTCATTACCTCACCCTCTCTCCAATCGCTTCTCTACCCCTTCTTATCCCACCCTCTCCACAATCTCCTTCCCACCCTCATTACTTACCCCACCTTCTCTTCAACCCCATTCTCTACCCCTCCTTACCCCACCCTCTCTCCAACCCATTCTCTACCCCTCCTTATCACACCCTTTCCCCAATCCTTTCTCTACCCCTCCTTTCCCCCACCCTCTCAACAACCCCTTTCCCATCTCTCCTAACTCCACTCTCTCTTCAATCCCCCCCTTCCCCACTTTTCCTTACCCTACCCTCTCTTCAACCCCTTCCCCACTTCTCCTTTCTCCCCCCTCTCTTCAACCCCTTCTCTACCCTTCCTTACCCCACCCTTTCCATTTCCCCCTTCCCACCCCTCCTTGCCCCCACCCTCTCAACAACCCCTTTCCCACCTCTCCTTACCCCACCCTCTCTTCAAACCCTTCCCCACTTCTCCTTTCTCCCCCCTATCTTCAACCCCTTCTCTACCCTTCCTTACCCCATCATTTCCATAACCCCCTTCCCACCCCGCATTACTTACCCA